AACGCAGCTCAACAGGGAGCCCGCGCACAGTTCAACTGTACGCACGGGGCGGCCGAACAGGTGAGCACTGCACCCGACGGATCCCCTGCTAGTACTAGTACTAATAGCAAGGATGCAACACAGAAAACCGTTGAAATGAACAGCGCCAGTGCGTCTGAGAACACAACCAGCGACGGGGAATCCAAGGAAATACAGAGCAATACTCCATCCTCTGTCGACCAAACTGAGGTAGCTGAGAGTTACAGCTTGCAGGTAATCGCTCCCAGGACACCCCCAATGTCCGGCACCCCTCCGCCTACAGGCACTGGGGCAGGCCACGACGACGGGGCCACCACGGTTGCCTCTGACGATGCGGATTGGATACCCAGCGGTCCTCGTCGTCGCCGACACAGCCACGGCCATTCCACCATGGAGGAGAAAGCCAAGGCCGATGGGACATGGCCCTCCCCTCAGAGGAAACACCCGAAATACTGAGTCCAGATAAGTTTCAACAACTAGCCAAAAGACAAAAACATAAAAAATAAAAATAATTCCCCCCCAAAAAAAAACAATACCAATGTCAGTGAATTTGAACTTTCTCAGCACCAATGTGCGTTACATATTCAACAAAATGGACGAGTTACTTACCTTTACCCGTTCGTGCTCTGAATCTCAGAACGAATTATCAGTCATTGCAGTCCAGGAAACCTGGGCTGACACATCAGACCCTGACAGTCTCTATGCAATCCCAGGCTACAAGCTGATTAGAGCTGACACTGCCTGACAGACAGGACTATGGTGGTGGTGTTGCTTTGTACATAGCGGAACGTTTCAACACAAGGGTACTGACAATACCAATGACAGCAGCAGAATGCATATGGACGAGAATATCCACCGGTAACCTTTCCCTCGTTGTTGCAAACATTTACCGACCACCCCGTAGCGGTGGCACCCTCTTCTGTGCGGAACTGGAAAGAAGCATCAAAACCGCTAGAGCCGAAGGTGACGACCTCCTACTACTTGGAGACTTCAATGCCAAGAACAGTGCGTGGCTCACCACAGACAGAACAGATCGCCTTGGGGACGACATACAAACGCTGCTACACACATACGGCCTCACACAACATGTCAGATTCCCTACTTACATCCACCGACAGACACCTCTCTCATGTCTAGACCTTGTTATCTCCTCACTCCACACCAATGATATTCATATCCAATCACTTCCACCGTTTCGCGCATCCGATCACACTACTATCAGTGGCCACATCAATAATCAACTGCCCCCCATAATTAACAACTCCCCTCCACGATCCAGAAGCACCACATTCTGGTCATGGACAGACAGCACTATCCACCTCCTTCTAAAAGCCCTTTCACGCACAAATCTCAACCACCATCCAAACCAACACGACCCATGCCCAGTTGATACCTTCTGGCGATCCTGGCGCGACAATGTCATGAGCATCGCCCAAGAACACTGCCAAGTTACTCGCACTCACTCCCCTTGGGACAGGAATAACGTGCCAGCACGACCATGGATATCAAAGGGCCTCTTGAAAAAGATCAAGGATAAGCACAGAAAACACAGAATATACCTTCACTCACGCTCGCCTGACGACTGGAACACGTTCACTGCCCAAAGAAACCGTGTCACCACCCTCCTGCGTCGTGCTAAATCGGATTTCGTTAACAACTCAACAGCCTCCTCTACTTCCCTACACCGCCTCACGAAGCACCTAACTACAGCTACAAAACAACGCATACCCGAACTCGTCAGCCAAGCAACTCCTGCAACGACACCAGCACAAAAAGCCGCTGCCCTCAACGAATTCTTCATTTCACAGAGCAAGCTGTCCGTGGCCAATGCAGATGAGCAAACTCCAGCCATCAACACCACCCCTGACATCCTCAGTCCCCTTCAAGAAATCTCGACTTCCCAAGCTGAGGTCGAAAAACTCCTCCGCGGAGTTGATACCAACAAAAGCCCCGGGTTTGACTCTATTCCAAACCGCCTACTCAAAGAAGCGGCTAAGGAACTTGCACAGTCGTTATCGTCCCTCTTTAATCTATCGTTCCAAACCGGAGAAATCCCACAGGAGTGGAAAGATGCCACCATTACTCCAGTACCCAAGCCGGGTGACCCAACCCAACCAACAAATTATAGACCCATCTCCCTCTTGAGCACTACATCAAAAATCCAAGAAAAAATTGCACATCAACTCCTCTACAAGCACATCACACCCCACCTGCCCAACCAGCAGTCCGGATTCCGCGAGAAAGACGGCACTGAGCAGCAGCTCGCCCGTCTCGTCCATACCCTCTCCACTGCGAGAGACGACGGGAAACACGTCAATGCCTGCTTTTTCGATCTAAGCAATGCCTTCGATCGTGTGTGGCATGCAGGCCTTCTAGCAAAACTCTCCCACTATGGTGTCCAGGGCACCGCCCTGGAGTGGTTCCGACGGTGCCTGTTGGGGCGTCGTCAAAGGGTCCAGGTGGATGGCGACTTATCGCCTTTCCTCGAGATCCCTGCCGGCGTCCCTCAGGGATCTGTTCTTGGGCCGCTTCTATTCCTCGTCTACACCATAGACCTTCCACACGCATGTGAGAATCCCAGCACCACCTGTAGCCAGTTTGCAGATGACACCGCTCTGATTTCCCTAGCGAGAACTCTTCAAGACTGCACCCGAAACCTACAACAGAGTGTCACAGCAGCTGGAGACTGGCTTCAAAGATGGCACCTGCTGGTTAACACAAAGAAAACAGTCATCCTCCCGTTCTACCACAATAACCGCCCCCCTGAACAGCTACCCCAGATCACCCTCAGGAATAGCCCGCTTACCGTAGCACAAAAACACAAAAACCTCGGAATAATCTTTCAGCATGACCTCCGTTGGACGGAGCATGTTGAATACATAGTCAAAAAATCACTCAAGTCTTTCAATATTCTTTTTAGACTAAGGTCTACACTCACCAGTGATTCTTTATCTCACATCTATCAGACATACATACTACCTATATTCTCATATGCGAGCAATGCTCTCACACCGTTGTCCCACACTTCCCTTGACAGGCTAGAACGACTCCAGCGGAAAGCCGCCAGAATATGCTTCCACCTTCCCCTTTACACACACTTAGAACACTCCCACCTTTTGCATCGCATCAAATGGCCAACATTATTTTCACGCTTTGAAGTTAAACATATACTCTTCTCTCTGCGGCACACAAATGCCCCACCACATATACTCTCGCTGCATACTGCTAGCTACGTGCAACCTTCGTATAATTTACGTCGCTCTCGTACTTGGCACTTGCCAACTCCGCGGACTGACCGCTGTCTCCATTCTCCCCTGTACAAGGCCCTTCATTACTTTAATTGCCTGCCCACCCAGCTTCGCGATATCCCTTCTCGTACTCCCTTCAAATCCGAGATATCCCTGCTGTTGCACAACTCTGTATGCTCGTGTAGCGACCACCCCTGCCCGTACACTTAAGTACGCAACTCTGTATGCTCGTGTGGCGACCACCCCTGCCCGTACACTTAAGTAGTCATTAACCCCTAGGCCCTGCCCACCCAATTCTTCCTCACTCTTTCTCCTTTCTTACACTATTATCTCTTATTGGCCACTGGCTATCGTGAGAATAAAGATTTGTGTGTGTATTGAAACAGCAGCAGCAGCAGCAGCAGCAGCAGCAGCAGCAGCAGCAGCAACAACAACAACAATAACAACAAAAACAACAGCTATCTCTTATTGGCGATGGTGCCATCGTGAGAATAAAGAATTCAAAAATTCAAAAAACAACAACAACAACAACAACAACCACCCCTGCCCGTACACTTAAGTAGTCATTAACCCCTAGGCCCTGCCCACCCAATCCTTCCTCACTCTTTCTCCTTTCTTACACTATTATCTCTTATTGGCCACTGGCTATCGTGAGAATAAAGATTTGAAACAACAAGAACAACAAGAACAACAACAACAACAACAACAACAACAACAACAACAACAACAACAACAACAACAACAACAACAACAACAACAACAACAACAACAACAACAACAACAACAACAACAAAAACAACAACAACAACAACAACAACAACAACAACAACAACAACAACAACAACAACAACAACAACAACAACAACAACAACAACAACAACAACAACAACAACAACAACAACAACAACAACAACAACAACAACAACAACAACAACAACAACAACAACAACAACAACAACAACAACAACAACAACAACAACAACAACAACAACAACAACAACAACAACAACAACAACAACAACAACAACAACAACAACAACAACAACAACAACAACAACAACAACAACAACAACAACAACAACAACAACAACAACAACAACAACAACAACAACAACAACAACAACAACAACAACAACAACAACAACAACAACAACAACAACAACAACAACAACAACAACAACAACAACAACGACAACAACAACGTCATTTTGGCACGTTTTTTGCGTGTATTGTCATAGCGACAGATTTTGAAGTTATTTTTATAGCTTTTTCTACAGATTAAAAGGAAGGGGCTTTCAGTGCATAAAAAGTTCGTATAGTGGCGCAATGCTGATCGCGTGACAGTGAAGCATATCGTACATCCCTGGAAACGCGCACGTGATTGGGTTGCACCACAAGCTGTCTCGCTAATGTCAAAATGCCAAACTTTAGCTGGAGGTGTTCCAAATTAAAGCACAAGGAGAAATTCTGGTCTTCTAGTGCTTCGCTAACAGTCGAGGCCTACCTGGCTAGTACTGCGGGAACTCATTCGGATATTCTACCACTGGCCTGCGGTACAAATGCGATTCATCGCTGCTTTTCAAGTGAAACTGTTCGTTAGTGTGATTTTGCCTGCCACTCCAGATAAAGGGTCGATAGGCAATACAGAGAATAAGCCTATTAGAGGGCATCCTACGAATATTGGAATAGAATGGGTTGCTGCGGATCCACTTCACCAGAAGGAGGTCTTCCATGCCCTCCAGATACAAGTTCCAGTGTGGCGATTGAACAGCTCAGATTTGTAAACCCACTGTCGACATTGCAGGAGGGTCTTTATGTGATGCGTGAGTCAGTATAATTTCTCCTCCAAGTAAATTTACCGTACAGTCGATGCTAATGAATGACTACACAGCCAGGGTGCTGCAAGGTCACAATATGCACTACATTGTCGGCGATTTCTCTCCCAGAAGTCTATTGTATTAAGCAGTTGGGCATTTAGCCATAGTCGAGGTAGCTGACAAAATAACTCAATCGATCTCCCTGTATAGGGCTCCGAAATACTCTTCATCTGTGTTCTTACTGGGACAATCGGCTTTGGTGGAATATTGAATATTGAACCTACAGTTTCGCCAAAGTAATCCAACTCAATGAATTCAATTTTTGGCCTGAGCGACTATGCGCACAAAAGCACGGAGTTATAATTTATCAGGTCTGACTTCTCTAGAACTGAAGAACGACATTGACTGCGCAGAGGCCGTGTTGTACATGTATGGCGGTAGTGAGTGATCCATATTGTGACTGACTGCATTACAGAGAAACCGTGCGCCTTATCTCGTTAAAGGTATGGGTTCCTGTGGTGAACAGGGTGCAGTGTACAATCCGTACAAAAATAAGAGTTTTTTTGACTCAGAATTTCTTAGTTTAGCAACACAGCAGACAAAAGTGAACTATAATAATTGTAGTGAGAGCATGTGTGCACATTTATATAGCCAAGCGCAGGTCATAGGAGCGATCAATGCAGTAAACACGTATGGCCAGTGCTATAGTTCAGCAATCAAGACCTCACTGTGCTGGGTTTAGAAGGTTAATCTATATTTCAAGTGTAAATCATGAGTAAAATGACTGTATTAGAGTGCGCGGGAAATCTGAATACCGTCTATTACTGTCTTTGGTGTTTTACTCATGCAATACCTATGAAGGCACCTCGACTGGCCGACTCTACGCTAGGAGCTACGAACGTGAACGTAAGTAAACTTTCAGGTGATTTGTTTCCCTAACGTGGTGCATGTGTCCAACAGTAGACAGTTGGAGGAGTAGACCCCAATTCAAGTATTGAAAACAATTTCATGAAAGGAAGAATGTGAAAGTAAACTGGAACCCTACTCAAATCTAACAAAACTCAATGAAGCGAGCGCTGTCACGGAATGAGAATGCCACACACTCTCAGTAGTATGACAGAACTGAAACACGCTATGAGAAATGGCATCATGGACCTAACAATAATCAAACTCCGGCACACCCCAGGAAACGACTACTACCTACCCTCGGGCATCGCCAAGGGACGCAAGGCATTGGAAGAGCGATGATACGCAGAGCGCGCTCCTCTTACGCACAGAATGGCTGCAGCGCAAAGAATACCCGACATCGCAGGTATGCCAACACTTGCCGTCATGCTCAGCCAACATGCCACACAAGCGCTCCAGAATCCGCGTACATTCTGGAGATGTGCTGCCAGCCGTGGTAAAGGCAAGAGGAGATTGTTTGAAGTTTTATTTTACATCGCAAACCAAACGGGCATTAATAATAATAATACAGCACGCATATAGCTCATATGAAAAATAAAATGAGGGTCATGCATCTGTCGACAACGTCGAGCCAGTGCGTTCTGGATGCCCAATATTATGATGGCGATAGAATTAAAAGTGTGGCTCGATAAAGCTACACTTCAGAAAATGAGAAAACCGTCAATAGGAAGTATTTGTACCGGTAATTACAAGTCAAGTTCGAACGAAGTAACAATAAGGGAGAAATAGGAAGATGAGGTCCTATGCCAGAGGGAGGTGCTATTCGGCCATATTAACCGTAGAAAAACACTTTCAGCAATCTTTTAAACCGGGTTGGACGACGAGTGGACGTGAGTTCCTGTGGCAGGGCGTTCCAAAGCTTCACGGCGGAAACCAATGGTCGGCTATCGCCAGATGTTCGCCGAGTTTGCGGAACAACGTATTTGCAATTGTCATTGCCACGGGTGTTACTGGGAGGTTGGAGGGCCACTCTATCTTTCGGAAGAGGGCTGATGCTGCTGGTGTGGACACGGTGCATAAGGAAACGGAGTTTGCATTTGGCACGTTCGATTACAGGGTCAGGGAAAGGCGAGTGTATATAGGAGTGGCATGGGACGGGAAGGGCAGATCGGCTACGCAGCGAACACATCGCTTGTGGAGGACAGTGAGCTGGTGCCATTGCTGAGCCGTAAGCGCAGAGAAGAACGCGTTTGACCCATAAAGCATGTCAGGAAGTATGAGGCCAGAATCGAAGAGGAGTGACTGGCGTTCAGATAGCGACGGGCGGATGGTTCTCAGGGTGGTTAGCTTCTGGGAAGTTTTACGTACTATGCTTTTTTCTTTTCTTTTTACAATGCAACACAATTATTGTGGAAAGGTCACAACAATAAGAGACAAGATCAAAAGGAAAGCTTTACAATAATAATAATAATAATAAAACGTAGCCTGGAAAATGTGAAAAGTCACTGAGTACAGTTTAATTCAATATCCATGTCCAGTATTTATAATAAAAATAATCTGCTGCAATTTCTAAATTCTCACATGCAAGCAACCTGGGCCTCAGCAACAACAAGCTCAGCAGACTCCGGATGCCGAACCGATCGCTCACGGAAAAGACCCCGTGAACCCCGCAAACACATGATGCATGATCGCAACAGGGCAAATGAGAGACGGCATCTGATGTAAGATATAACGTGGGAGTACTTCTCCTTCCTCCTTTCCGCTCTCAATAACGCGATTCGGCGATAGAGTGATGTCGCCGCTCTTCCCATGCCACCACTTGCCGACAGCACAACAGGCATGAACGTCGCATGCTCCACCTCTCTCACTCTCTCTTCATAACATCGTCGCTTTTCTTTTTCATGGCGCCGATAGACTGTGGTGTGTGGTGCAGATCGATTTGAGCGTGCATGAGGATTAAAAACCCGTATATCAAGTAAAGTACGCTCAAAACGACTGCCCCACAAACCACTGACCGCTACTTCTAGCCTACGTACTATGCTGGAGACATGCGCGTCCCACCGAAGACAGGAACCGATCTGTACCCCAGAAAGCGAGCAGTGGTGGTCTGCGTGAGAAGCGTCCCGTTGCAGTTAACGTTGAGTTCCAGGGTACTACGGCGTGATGCCTCAATGGCTAAGACCTGCGTCTTGTCAGGGTTTAAAACCAGGCCTTTTCTGTGTAGGTAGTCAGCCAAGTTTGACACAGCAATTGATGAGACTTGATTTAGGGTTGCTACGGATCTGCTTGCGGTGTCGAGAAGGATGTCATCCGCAAACAGCTGGGAGTGTGCTGGGCTGGTGATGCTATGGACGTCCATGGTATAATTATAGTGAAAACAGCAAAGGACCCAGTAAACTACCCTAAGGGACTCCACACTCGCATGCAGTTAGGCCCAAGCACTACCCACTCCCCAGAACTACTCTCCGTCGACGGTCCGTGAAGTAGCTCGCAAACCAACGCAATGCAGTCGAAGATACACCCAAAGCAAACAAATCTTGGATCATGAGCTGGTGCCGTACTTTATCGAATGCCTTGCTCATGTCCACTAGTACTGAGCCAGTGTGTAGCTGGTGGTCTGCTGACGACAGATAGCGGTCCATGGCCAAAGTCAAGGTATCTTCCGTGGAGTGTTGTGGCCGGTACGCAAACTGATTGGCGGGCAAAAGTGAATGGGCTTGTAAGAAGTCACACAGGCGTTTGTGGACTATCTTCTCCAAGATCTTCGATGCTATTGGCAGGAAAGATATGGGACGGTAATTGCGAGATGTGTTCTTGTCACCAGACTTAAATAGGGGTCGAACATTTGCAATCTTCAGGGAGACGGGCACAATGCCAGACGAAAGGGATGCAATAATTAATATGGATAGCGAATCGGTTCGTATCCATCCATGCTAGGTTACGACCGCACTTGACAGCAGGAGGTTCAACAATGCAAAGGTAAGTCAATTACGACCACAAAGTGGTTTGCTGCTGGTACAAGGGAGAACCGTGCAGGAGGTTATCGCTCCATCCACAGCTAGGGCGAGATCCAATGTTGTTCTGCTGCCGTGGGGGCAATGCGGGTAGTGTCCTGCACCTTGTTGCTGATATTGAACTGGTCGCAGAAGCGAAGTAAATTGTCGAGCTGAGGGGCTTGGCGCCGGCTTACGTCGACATTGAAGTCGCCCGTTAAAATCAGCGGGGACGATGGCATTGACACCGCAGCTGTGTCAACTGCGTTGGACAAGTCCTGCCTAAACTGTACTGGTGTGCCTGGAGGTCGATACACTCCTCCTTCGGAGAATCCGTTTTCGATGACTTCGGATCTCCAGTAGCAAAAGTTCTATGTTGGAGTGGTCTCCCACCACTTGTGCTTGAAAGCGATTGTGGACATAGGCTGCTAAGCCACCTGGGACGATCCCTCCGGAAAAGTGCATGGTTTAGTTTGCTGAGCAAGCTGTCTGCGGTAGAGCTAGATAGAAAGGTTTCCGCCAGTATCATGATGGCAATGTTTTGAGGTAGTATGAAATCCTCAACTTCTTGCTTTTTATTAAGAAGGTGGCACACATTGAGGAACCCTGCTCTAAGATTAAGACTAAGGCCATTGTTGCTGTTCGATAAAGGGGCTAAATTAGGTGGGTGTGGTCTAGGATGGAATGGGATTGCATTAGGGTTTGGTGGGGTGTCGGCATTAATGATGTGACTGAAGCTGAAGATATCTTATCCAAGGCGAATCTCCACTCTCGTGCACGCACCTCCGCTGGCCAGAAGTCTTCCTGCAGAGCTTTGTCGACTTGATCTCCTGGGATCACGACATGTGCGTACGCCAGTCCGAAGTACCGGGATTCTGACACACTGCACTTCATGACTGGCAGGTCTTTTTCTCGCACCAACCTACTATGGAATCAGCACTACATCCCATGTGGACATTGCCAAGGTGAATTGCGCGGCATTTTATCCGAGGGGCTCCACGAAAACTTGCAGGAGCTTTAGGTTTGTGCTGATAATACGAGGTGACAGTGGACTGGCCTGGCTTGTGTGCTACGTCACGGCTGGCAGTGGTAGTCCTGTTTGCCAACGTGCGTGCAGGGTTTCGCGGTTTTCTCCATTCCACATCCTCCCACTCCGGTTCGACCGGTGCGGGATCATAATTATGTTGGTTCGCGTGGTGTACTTGTGTCAGTTGTAACCCCTGAGCTGCAAACATTTGAATACGAGTTGCGTGTAGCAGGCCCTGAGTCAGATGTGCGTGGGTTGATCACTGATGTGGCAGTGGAGGACGTGGACTGGCCTGTTTGGGTACATGTACTCGAAAGCAATTTCTGAAATTCCTCCCTGAGTGCCCGCCACTTCGAATCTCAGGGAATTGTTGTCAACAACAGCTTCTTTCATGGCAGCCAATTCCTTGATCAAACTACTCATGATCCCTATGAAAGATTCGCCACCGCAACATCTATGGTCATGACACATGCATGAGCACTTGCGGTAAGCAGGCAAGTTAGACAAGGCCACATCAATTTGGCATCCAGAAGAGCAATTTTCGCCAAAAAAAGGCGTGACGTCAACAGAACCGTCCATACCAGTGCTCGGAGAACCACTTTGGGCAATCGGGGTAGCACTAGAGTGATCTTCTCCGCTCTCTTTAGACCCGGCTGACATGGGCATGGCGAACAGGAGTTAACCCGTATAAAACAAGAAAAAATCAGCCAAAGTTGGAGTTAGAAAATTTGCATCCTACTTCTACACGTACTCAGTAGACAGTTGGGGTGTACATGTGTTCCAATGGAAACGTACTAGAAACTGTTTCAAAGTCTGTTCCGTAATAAGCTGAAACAGTGACAAAGAGAACAATTATTTGTAGTTTCTCACAGTTAATGGTAAACCTATGTTGACTGCAGTGTTCATGGTTAAATACATCTGAACGCAATAAAAAGTGCCAAAATACAGCTGATTTTTGCTCTCATCGCTCTCTTCTGCCTCCTCCTGTTCCTTTCCATTCATCTCCTCCTCATCCTGGTCCTCCCTCTCATCTTCATCCTCAGCATCAGTCATGTGCTCATCCTCCGGATAAGGCTCAATCTCAATGCACTCCTCATCACCCTCCATCCAGGTCTCCGTGCTCTCCACCAGCATCACAAGTCGTCTCATCACTGCTCAGCCTTACCATTGCTCCATTCTCAGCTACTGCACATCCATTTACACTGTCCATTTTGCGTTGGCCATTCCAGGACGATGATGTATTGCTAGAGTAGGCTCTTTTGCTGTTCGCTGTGAGTTCCGAAGTGGTGGCCAGGTCATTGATGGCAAACCCACCCCAGTCCCAGCTACCCACGGCACCGCAGGTGCTGGCGTCGGTGGTGGCCTGGGAACAGGTGGCACTGCCGGCCCAGCGTGTTTGTGTACAGAGCTAACTGGGTTCATGCACTGCCTACCTTGCTTCCGCTTCTTTTTCTCTGGCTGCTATGGTACGGATTGCCTTTGGCTGAGATTCCAGCAAGGCGTGTGTGCGGAGCGGATTTCGCCTTAGCCCACGCGATATGCAGTCTAACTGGTGGCTGTCCAACAGTGCAGCACAATGAAGTAAGGGACTTGAATGCTAAACTGATAACAGTGGGTGCGCCCCAATGTCGCAGTTTAGCCTTTGCAGCTCCGATAAATGGGAAGTATTCACAGCAGCCTGCACCAACAATGCCGGTGATGCCTGATCGGACATACCGAGTACGTGTGTCGTGGATTCAGTAACAGAACACCTTCCTAGACGTTGGCGTTTTTCACCCGAAGCTTTACTCCACTTGTTTTCACCACGTCCGGCAATGCGTCCCAAGAGGAGGTGCGGTCTCTTGAGTGGCTGTGCGAAATGCTGGGTCATTATGATGTTAACCCTAGAACAGCCAACGGTGTCATTTGATACCGCGCGAGTCAAACTTTTGGAATTACCGAAATATCGCTAATCAGAATAAGCTCAAATCTTGTGACTATTCTTAGTTTTGCTTCCTTTTTCGTCTGCCATAAACTTTTGATTTCTAATTGATGAGGTACCATAATGGCGAGTACGTATACCTAGAACGGCCAACCAGTGTCATTTGACACCTACACTAAAAAAAGCCATTGTTGCAGTTAGATGGAAACAATATGAACACATACCGAAGATGTCGGCCATATTGAGTTGCTCGTATGCCAACCAGACAAAAGAAAGGTGCACGGGCATGAAAAGTGCTGAATACAGGACGCAATATTATATGATCAACATACAACCGTCGGGCGAGAATCGCGAATTTGGGGCGGGTAACCATTAGTGCACAGATTACACAGACACTCTTCAGCTAATGTCCTTGATACTGCTCATTCCCTTTCATTTTCCTGTAGATAGCCCCGGAGGAGCCATCGCGGTCTGACGGCCAAGGAAATACTAGAATGGATGTAGCCTATTACCATGCATGAATCTGATGACCATGACAGCGAAATTGCCCACTTCATCTTCATTTGATAGATGTTCAAATGTAGTGACCATTGGCAGTGGTGGATCTGTTCTGTCATATGAGGGCGTATCGTACGGTGACAACACCTGAGTACCTGTGGATTCAGAATGTATTGAGGTTTACGAGCCTCCAGAGAGCGGACAAGGATTGCGGAATAGTCCAGACAAGGAATTGTCAAAACCGTTGCAGGAGTGGTGGAGACCCCAAAATGGATAGTGTTGAGGAAGAGGAAACGCAACTCTCCAACCTGGAGATGGTACACCGCATTATCGCACGGATGGTGCTGTGTAGGTAATCTTTTCTAACTACTTGACGAACTAATAAGGCTCTTGAACCAAACATCTTCCTCCCCCACTTCAGGCTAAACGGGTAGGCAGCCGCTGGGATGGCGTCTCTCCCTTCATTGGCTCCGGATGCTGCAGAAGCTGATCGCTAAGTAATAACTGATAACTTCATCATCAGTGCATTACTGGTCAAGAAACTATTGGAGAAGAAAAAGAGTTGCAGTATGAACCACTCTGGTAAATCGAAGTGAGCTACCATCTAACTTCATTGCCAATAGTCGCGGATTGCGTTTTGTTTTCAAGATTACATTGTAGGATGCAAAGACGGTAGACGTAGAAGGAAGTAGTAGCAAGAATTAACAAGGGTCCGCCTAGTGTAGACCACCTAGAGCCATATGTTTTACACGGTGAGAGTAGGAAGCCCCACATCGTCCAATTCTACCATAAGATGAGATATGTCCTTGACCGTGTCGATCGAATGTGGTGGATCTACTCAACAAAGACTATCCCAGAAGAGGTACCCCTGCAAGGCTGTTACGTAAATGAATAGACGTGACAGGCATCAAGGCCTTCACAATATCCCAGAACTTTGCTAGTTCACGCACATCCAGAAAACGCTCATTCCTGCACTTGTCAATAAACTTGTAGATAGTCATGGCGTCTGGTTGCTAAGTGGCAGCCAAGGAGAAGAGAAGGGTTCACCCCTTTGAAAGAGTCTAAAATGCAGTCGCTACTAGACTAATCTTGCAACCATGTCTAGCAGCATATGTGTCAGCTTGGTGAAAAAATGATGCTCATCTTCAGTCCATGTTTGTACTTGTCACTGTGTGTCATTTATCGTGGCGGTCGAGTAATCCGATTATGCCAAAGCACATATTCCCAAAAATCAGTTCCTCGTGTGCAAAGTGACATTGACACATTGCTTGTTATGGTAACTCTGTGATTATACGAAATTCCTTTCGAGTAATTGAAGTTTTGCCAGTAATTGAGTTCATCCTTCGCAATTGCCGTTACGCGTACATTGTACTTTAGTTGCATATAGCCAACAATAGTGTCTGGGTCAATCCTAATGTGTTGTGTACATCATAAACGCTGCTAGTAATAGCCAGCACTGAAAAAAAAACTATAATAACCTATATCATAGGGCTTAGACATGTAAATGTATGCAAGTGTCAAATGACACCGTTTGACCTTTCTAGGAGTACTGAAAGTGGTGGCCGTCCTAGAGTTAAGCCGTATATTCAAGTCACAGCACATGTTAGGTGTTGCCTGTCCTCCTAGCGACAGTTATGTGCACCGGAGGAGCAAGATATATTCGGCCCATCAACGCCTTGCGTCCTTTGGTAATGGTAAAGGGAAAATTCTAACAATCTTTATGATGATGGTCGGCTGTCATTATTGCGTCGTTTGTTTGTTGGTTTGTTTGTTGCAGAGGATTTTTACAGTATGACTCTGGAATTTTTAGCTCATCCATATTGCCCACTTTTTGTTTATTACCCAGTACATGTACTTGTGTTGTTGAGTTCCCTTCGGGAACGGACACGATAATATATTTTTTCTTACTGGTAGTTACTTGTACACGGATGGAGAGCCAAGGTCTAATTTATACAAAAGAGAAAGGACCGAGGAACTACAAGTTTCGTTATACAGTCCACTAACACCACCAGTTACTAAACAATCAGCTAAAATCCATCTAAATAATTGTCATAGCCGAAGTAACGTTACAGTGCTGTTTTACTGATGCGTTCGGTTTTTCATGATCATTGTTCGCATAGCTTCCCCTTTTATTGATCTCCGCATCTTTTCAGCCACCAAATTTGTATGAAATGTTGCTTTGCGTACTTGAATCCTGGTTTGACCGTAATGTGCAATGGTCTTGTCGGGATCGTTATCGACATGCATGAACATCTTGCAACTTCCTTCACAGCTGAGACATTCAACTCGTGCTTGTCTTGGTTTCGCTCACCTTCCCCTCCTTATGTTATTTCTAAATTAGAACCTTCCAAGTTGGAAGTTTGTTGGAGTGCGCATCCAAGATGTGCTAGAGCTGTTAGCAAGTTAGTTGTAGAACGTCAGTACCGTCGTTCAGTGTCGTATAATGGTATCGCATGCATGAGCTGATTGTTAAGTAACTGGTGGTGTTAGTGGACAGTACAGCGTAACTTGTAGTTCCTTTGGTCCTTTCTCTTTTGTATAACTGACTTGTGTTATTTGTGTCGAGTTTCACCATGATCAATTCAGGTTGCATTGTGTTATTGTCCCGTTTATTATGCAGTTTCCAGTGATCAATATTAATTAAAATGGTCTGGTGGTGACAGATACAGTTTTCTTCAGACTTTTTCCGTTCCCACCCCCAACCCCACCCGCTAGTAGGTCTGAATATGATCATTACATCTTGCTTTCTTTTCCTCCTCCTTCAGAAACGCCACCGGTCCAAGAAGGAGTGTTTGTTGTGCGTAGGTGTTCCATAAGTGGTGTGTGTGGCTATTCAAAGAAATCACCAGAGCAACGCATTGTTTTCCAGAGTGCCCCCACTTCTCAATTCGGTGCGCGGTATGTACAGCAGCCTTACTACATTGGCAACACGATTAGTCGGCGCGACGACAGATGGGAATGGGACGTTGAAATGTTAAACACACTTCAGGTCGCACCAGAACAGGCTCTGTGCACGCCAGGTTTATACTTCATTCGTGAGGAAACCAGCAATGGTTACCGATTGCGGTGTCTAGCCTACAAGGAGACTGTGCTGTGCGTAAGTAAAACAGAGGACAGTGATGGCTATCCTTTGATGATCCTTCCGCTAGACCAAGCAATGCAGCAACTCGCTTATACCTTCATCGATACGCAGGCGCCGTCATCCATAATTGGAATATGATTTTCCTGGCTTCTCCTAGTGCCGTGTCCAGTGCCTTTTAACTTTCTTTATAGATAAATATAATAGTATGTATGTCCATTGTAAAAAAGCCCTCAATTTAATCGCATTGTATGTTGTCTGCCTACACCTCTGTAGCTAATACGTATGACCTTGGTATACATATGACACTCCAACTAGTGAAAGACTACTCCCCTCGCCCACACCATTGCGGTGTTGATGAATGTAATCCTTGAGTGGGTTTACTCTCTCTGGATCCCATCACTTTGCGCACATGCCCCTGACGCTTTATATACACACATTGCATTCGTCTTCAACATCGCACACATTACCACCGTACGCTTGCAGTTTTGGTGACGCCTTGGGAATTTTTTGTCTAATCACAGTGCCCACGTTTTCCTCAAGAACATGTTCTACATGTATTGTACTGCATCTACAACATAAACAAGAATGCTTTCCTTCAACTTGTAAACGCGTATAACCATTCTTTTTCCAGTTTCTCGCAATCTATTCCCAACATAGGCAGTGTTATGCACCGCCTCCGTACATTAACTACTCTTTCTGCTAGCTTGAATGCAGCCTGCGTTCACCTATTGTGTCACTTGCCCTCTGTAGGTACTTGCGCGCCCATAATTGCCGTAGCTATCCAGGCCCTTTAGCATTCTTTTCTCTCCCACTCGATCGCTTTCTCTCGGCTTGTCGTCAACTGTTACGTTAGTCTTTCATTTTGTCTCTTGTCTACCCCGATACATGTCGTCCTTTCATCTACTTGTGCTTTGTCCTTTTGCGCGATGGAAATACAGCAGAGTTGAGTTTCAACAGTAGCACAACTTTTCTTGTCGACCTGCTGAACACGTTTTCACGTGCAGTCCTGTTCCGTTAGTAGTTACCTGACACTGAAGAGGGCATGTGTGGGAAACCCGAAGGATGTGTTCAACCTTCTGATTTCGCTCGCATTTTAGTGTAGGTAAGAGCTGGGGCTACGAGACCGTAGATGGACTGTACAATGCACTGTACAGGGGTTTTGAAGGGATCCTCGACAATAGCATACCCTCGTGTAATTGCCCAGAGATTATCAAGGGGGTTTAGAAAATCATAGGAAATGATGGATACTCATTACACCAGTTGACGGCATTAAACTTGAACAAAGGGATCGTAAAAGGACGTTAGCCGGACCTGGAAGGACGCTCGTAGTCCCATGTGACAAAACTCAGCACGTTCCTGTGTTTCTAGCACATATGGCTTCCCATGAAAACCGATCTTAGGGCTCAGATAGTTCTGGTATTGTGGTAGCAACGATTCATTACTATCAGGTTCGGCCCCATTTTCTCTTGAAAGAAGGATTTCCAAAAAGCAATAAACAGAACGAACTCTGCCGTCATCATCATGCGTCAAGGAAGTGAAATGTTTTCCATAATCGATTTCCATATCACTGTCATCAGTTCTTCTTATTCTTAACAAATTGTTGTCTCCGCGGCGTTAAATCATAAAATTTCACAAGCCAGATTTAAACCATGCCCGAACGCACCTGGCCAGAGTGGTCAAACCAACAAGTCAGTGAGCTCTGCAAAAAACAAACAGCATAGGCACTACCCCACACGAGAGTGCTCAACTGGTACAAGAGTAGGAGCGACATACATGTACTCAATCTGCGGACAGTCAGGGATCGTCATTATTTTTGTGGACTCATTAGTGCAGCACATACATAAATATCTATCTATCTATCCGCAGATGGAGTATTTCGCTCTTGCTCTTGTAGTAGTTGAGCACTTTAGCTCACTGACTCGTCAGTTGGAGCACTCTGGCAAGGTACGTTCGGGCCTGGTTTATATCTGGCGTTGGAAAATTTATTTTTCATTGCAACCTGGTTCGGCCTCATTTTCTCTGTGCTGCGCTGATGAATCCACAAAGGACGAAACAGTTCTGTCGGCAGATTTAGTATTTCGCTCCTGCCTTTGTAGTAATTGTGCACTCCAATGTGAGGAAGTGCCCTCGCTGTTTACGCTGTGCAGAGTTTGGGTTGGTTTGCGTCTTGCGTTTCCTTCTAGGTTGACTAATCTGGCGATCCTTTTCTGAATGAGGTCTTGGGCTGGAGCCGGACTTGCTGAATGATTTGGTTCAAGTCTCGAATGCAATACTAGTGGGAAATATGCCGAAAACAGGCAGGTTCGAGGCCTAGGCGGTCTTCGGATGAAGGGCGGATGTGAGAAGACTGGCATAGCGTATGCTCAGGCCCATCACTAATATAAGGTTCATTTTATAGACGTCAAATTAGTGAGGCGGAACGTATTTTCTTGCGTCCACTCTAATATGATCTCAGTTTTACTCGTTAGCCTTCTCGAGCCATCAGTATTTTGTATGGTCTTGAATTGAATTTTATTTTACTTCGGCGGCTAAACAGTACAAAGAGGCTCGAAAACCAGATCATATGGAGATAAAAAAGGAAAAAAAGACGGGGCAAACCAACAACTAGTTCAAGTGAGAAAAAAAGAAGCATGAGTATAATTATAGTGAATGTAACAAGCTGTATACCGTCGCGTAGCAACAACGCTGTTTGAGTAAAGAAAGTCATGGTAGCGTCCTAAATCATGGGAGGTAAATAGTAGAGAGTGTATCAATGCGGTATCAATGGCCGTGCATTCCCTTCTGAAGCGTTCCAGTACACGCTCTGCACGCGCGCAACGCAGCTAGGGCTTTTGGGTGCACAAGTCGGCATCCAAAGCCGGCAAGGACCGTCCAAGCGCTCGCGGGTCCATCTTTTGGAACATCCTGCCTTCCAATGGGCGTGGCATTACCCAGTACCACCAGTTCAAACATGCCTGCCTCCCGCTTTTTCTTCCTAGCAATAGTACTTTCTTGCTAACAGTAGCACCTATAACTGAACAATACATGTACTTTTGAACGTTACCAGTCGTGTGCTGTCTACCGCCTGCCCTGTGTTTTGTTCTAACATTATTCATTGACTGAGCGTTGTTTGCTTTGTACTATACCCTGCTGTCATGTTAGAGTATTTTCTACAAAACAAAATATTCATTGTTTCCATTCGCTTCCATGTAATTTGGGGACACCGCCCGTTTCGTTCCGCGAAATCTAATATAAACTCCCTAACTATTCGTCCACTATCCGAAGCTCCCAGGCTAGACTTATCGCATACTTACACCTAGGGCTAGGGTTTATAATGCCAGTTTTCCTGCATGTCCGTGTTATGTTCGTACTGGTTCGCAGAACCCCAGTATAAGGTGTCTGATGATTGCCTGGTGGCACTATCCTCGGTTTTACAACGTTCTCCGCTGTGTCTGGTAATTTCTAGGCTCTCTCCAAGACATTCGGCACTCTTTTCAGCTTGGGGATCCACGTATCTTAGAGTACAAGTCTGTATACTCTTCGTCCCTGACATAAGGGCCATGGGTTTGTAATTTTGCTGGCTTTAAACAAGTCTGTAGCAGGTTCTTTTCGTGGAGTGAGAATAATCTGGGTCGCTCCGTAATGAATCATTCAATGCAGAATTGTCAGGCCAAACAAACGATGGTGTTGTTGAGGACAGCACAGGTGTAGCAGGAGTTGTTTTCGATGTTTGGCCAGGCTTGACATATTTGTAGCATCCATCGCGCATCGGATCAATCCATCTGTGGACTGTCCACTGATTGACGCCTCAGATCAAATCCGTCATGTATGATTAGGAGTTGTTTTCGATGTTTGGCCAGGCTTGACATATCTGTAGCATCCATCGCGCATCGGATCAATCCATCTGTGGACTGTCCACTGATTGACGCCTCAGATCAAATCCGTCATGTATGATTACATTTCAGCCGTCAGGACAGCGTGAGACCATGACGAAAGGTGCAGCTACAAGGGAAAAGTCTTCGCTATATGTCTACGTAATTCAACTGCACCTGACAATACGTTGACACAAAGTTGACAACAACATATGGGCCGCGGTCAGGTAAAACATGCCTTAGGGTTTCTTTAAAAATAGAAAAATGACGGAATGAAAAAACGAGGTTTGTCAAGCGCGTTCACACTGCACTTCATTCATGAACAGGTGGCGATCATCTTCTCAATCTCGCTCAAACACTTGTTTGGCCGTCTAGTTCAAGTACCTGGCGTCCAAAGACTGACAATTTCCATGTCTAGTGACACTAGAGCAGCAGGGCTAGATGATCGCCGTGCACAGCAGCGCTCGAGTGCCCGGGTTTGGTCAGGTGTCAGCCAGTCACTGAAGGCGAGTATGCAGAGCGACGGTATTCGATAACATTTTATGGATCTGATATTGATGTCGACAGCGAAGCTGAAAAACCCACGTCGTCCATAGTAGCAAAGTTGCCTTGTGGGGGAGCACATTAGACGACGAACTAACTTACGACGTCACGTGCCGCTCAACTCTCATACTTGTGGTGAATTCCAAAACATTTCAGATGCCTGGCGAGGCCAGTGAGAGCTTCCTGGCGGTAACTAACGGCTGGAATCCAACCGTTTCTGCAGAAAGAAAGCAACTGGGGAGTGGTTTATTGTCACCTTCCAAAAATCAGTTCCCCCATCTCATCGTGTTATTCTGCCAGGTCACCTTTATTGTATATGGCATAGAGTCGGCACACGCTCTTTGATTAACCTCGTGCTTTTCATCTTCTACCAAGCGGGTGTGCACCTTGGAAA